TTTTTTTTTTTAAATTCGTAATAATTAATCATGCTCGCATGATCCAGGTAATTCTAAAATTTTTCCTCATGCATCAAAATCTAAATATTTTTATCCTTTATTCATTAAAAAACATTCTAACATAATAGGTTCAAAAATAAAAAAATATATATATCACAAAAAACACAAAAATAAAAAAATAAAACATGATAAACTAATATATATATATATATATATATATATAGTTTTCTTGTTTTATATTTTAAAATTTAAATATTAGTTATGTTTGTGTCCGTATCAAAATCGGTACTTCGTTGTTTATGTATGTGTCGTGCTAGAATTAATAGTACTTCAGCCTATGGAAGAGACATATTTTATTTGATTTTCAGGTCAAATTTATTTGACTTTTTATTTTTTGGCAGACCTGATCGATGCTGATTTCTACTGTTGAAGTTGTCATGTCTCTTGCTTTTAGCCATGATTCTATTTCTTATTCATCTATAGTGAAGAACAATTTTTGTTGCTTTAGTTTTGTTATTGTGTTTTAAGTTTAAAATCCCACCCTAGCTACATATGTGAAAGTCTCCCCCTCTAGCATGTATCTAGAATCAATTAGAACAATTTGAAGCTCCCTCTAATTGCTTTGAGAAAGACAAGATGATGCAGTAAGCCTTTCTTATTGTATAATCATATTTCATGTTGCATTCACAACAAGGAACAACATTTGCAGGTGTAAGTCTTTCCCATTTTGCAAGGCTAAACTATAGTATTTTCATGTTGAATTGTTTTCTTTTTATATCTTTTTTTTTATTTTATAAATTAGATCAATTCAGTCTCTTTATTATTAAAAGATTTATTTAGTCTTTAAACTTTTTTTAAAAAACGATGTGATGTATTTCTTTTCATCCAATTAAAACTAATAACGTTAAATTTTTATACCTATAGTGATGTATGTAATTTTTTTTTAATTTATCACGTGTATAAAGAGCTAACATTGTTAGTTTCAATTAAATAAAAAATAATACACATTATATTATTTTAAAAATTAAGATACAATTAAACCTTTTAATATTATAAGTAAACCAAATTGAATTAGTTAAATAAAATGAAGGGAAAAAGTAATTTATATAAATGACACAATAATTAATATTTGATAATATTTAAATTAAATTATACTTTTAGTTCTTATTTTTATCTCATTTTTCACTTTTATGAGATAAAAATGAGAATTGAAGTAAACTTTAGTTTAAAGATTATTAAATATTGATTCTTAAGTCATTTATATAATATTAAATTATAATTAATATTACGATTTTAATGACTAATGAATGAATATTTATTGAAGAGATCAAGATTATATATTTTATAAATTAAAGAATCTATTTATATTGAATATTTAAAAATATAGGATAAACTTTATAGAGATCAAAATTATAATTTAATTTTTTCCCCTCTCATTTAGTCTCTATACAGCCTAGAAAAAAGAATGGAAATGAAAAAGTGAAAATTAGTATGTGTTTGTTATGTGAAAAATGAGAGAGGTAAGAAATAAAAAATATGATCTCACACCATTTTATTTTCACGCTTAACTAACAAGAAATGATGAATAAATTTGTCCTACCGACGAATTCATTTGAATAAGTCACACATTTATTAGATTAAATGTTTGTTTTATTCTTATTTCTTTGTTTTTTTTTTTTTAAAGTCTCTCGCATTCGATTAAAAGAAAACATTCATTATTTATTAATTCGTTCGAATAAAAGATTGTAATGTTATCACAATATCACTAAAATCAACTGAATTTTTTTTTAATTTAATTGATTAAAATAAAAAAAAATTTATTAAAAATAAAATATTTTTTTATTTTTTTATTCCTTTCTTGATTTTCTTATTTATTTTCTCTTTTTAATTTTATATACTTTATCTCTCATTTTTTTATTTTCTATTTTTTTTACTTATTTTTACTTTATTTTATTTATTTATTTCTTCTTTTTTATTTTATATATATATTATTTCTCATATATTTCTTTCCATCTTACCAAACATACATAATATTATTTCTAACTTATTTCTCTTAAGCCAAACAATCAAATTTTTAGTCTATTTCTTATTTATTTTTACTCATTTATATTTCTCTCATATTTTTTTTCACATTATTTTTCACTTATTTCACTTCTCTTGACCGAATATAGTACAAGTGTGTTGTTTAACTAATAAGATCATAATATTATTTAAAAAAAAACTAGTATAATTTGATACTTGACTAGATTTATTCATAAAGTGTGAGTGACATAACAATATCGTGTCATTAATAAAATTATGATATTATAAAATAATTATGAAGATAATAATTTTAATCAATTCGGTTCTCAAATTAAGAAATTTGTGAAGTGCAAGTTTATGATCAAACTAACTAAACTAAATTTATTTGATTTGAATTAAATTAATAAATAAATTAAACAAACTTAATTTATTTATTTCATACAGTGGATTTTATTGGATTATCAAAACTTACGAACACCCTGATGCCCCGCAAATGATAGGAGTCTCAATCTCCAGGATCTAATCCCATTCCCATCTTTGATGGTTCTCCGAAATTTATAAAAAAATAAATAAATAAATAAATAAAAGAGAGGTTGTGTGTGTTCCACGTGACAAATAAAATAATCCTCCCCGAGCCGCGAAGCATTCATCCGTAATTTAATAACCTCTCTTTAATTTATTTTATTTAATAAATCCTAATACTAAATTTAAGATTCCTCTTCTTCGTGGAGCTCATCAATCTATTTTATTCAACTCCTTATGCATAGACTTTCTTTTTTTTTTAATCTTTTTATGGGCATAGTATATCTAATGTCCAAAAATTGATAATCAATAAATAATTTATATTTGTGATCGAGTTCCGTTGCATTAATGGGCATTAATTTGTAATCTCAAGCGTGTGATTCAGGGTAAGGAATTGATCCACGCTTAAGTAAGGTCAAGTGTTCGAATTCTGCCTTGTGTATGTAGCCGCGTTAAATCTTGAGGCTACCTATCCCACCCTTTGAAGTGCATCTAACGTAGCGAGAAAACTAGTCACTATTATCGGTGGTGGATACTCTAGGAACGAAAAAAAAAAAAAACATTAATTTGTTAAAAAACGAAAAAGAAAAGTAAACTGTCTTTTATCCACTAATAAATAGGTCATTAATTATTTTATTTCAAATCTCAGTGAGTATTTATAACTTGTACTATTATTAAAAAAAATAAAACTGGTCGTGCCCTCTATTGTGGGATTGCTACAAATAAGCCTAATTCGTTGGTAAGATATAAAATAAAAACAGTAAATTAATTTCTAGGTCTCATCCCTATAATACTATATATTGTACCCAAAAAACTATTATATATATTCCTATAATTTAAAATTATAAAATGAATCCAGTTTCTAAAATAAAACTATATAGAACAAAGAAATAAAAATATATACCCTTAATTCAAAATAAATTAAATTTATAGAAAACCCTAATTTAAATCCTAATTTGTCAATACTTCCATCCTTATCCAATTGCCGTACATGCGTGTGTATATATATAATTTTAAACTACAACCATGCAGATCGATCTTCATTTGTATCTTTCTTTTCTTTATATTTCTCTACCTATATTACAAGTAGAATAATTAAATATATAGTCATACATTGATTCACTCGTTCATCTCATTTCAATCTTATCCTTTTCATATCTCTCTTCAATTTCTTATATCGATATCACATGCATGTACACCCTTTCTCTCTAGCTATACCCATTTATTACCTACCACGTATAGTTCACTTCTGAACTCTTTCTGATTAATTTGTATTCTTTTCCTCTCTAGATCTCTGCCCAAAATTGGATTGTATATGTAATAATTAATGCATCATATTAATTTTCAAATTGAAACACGTGCACTAGCTGCATATGTGTAACTATATATAGAGCTAAGGCAAATCCAGCAAAACACACTAGTACACAACATTTCTAGCAATATATACTTAACCATGAAGCCAGTGCTACTTCTTACACTCTCCTTCCTCCCCCTCTTTGCTTTCTTAACTAACCTTCCATTAGCTTTCTCAAATGAAGTTGAACAAGTTGTGGATACCAAAGGCAAGCCCATTTTCCCTGGTGCTACATACTACATTATGCCAGCATTATTTGGGGCAGCTGGTGGTGGAGTGAAACTTGGCAAGACTGCAAACTCAAGGTGCCCAGTTACTGTTTTGCAAGACTTTTCAGAAGTGGTTCGTGGTCTTCCAGTGAGATTCAAGATACCTGGAATAAGCCCTGGCATCATCTTTACAGGTACTCATCAATAATTTCATTTCATTAATTATATATGTTAAATGCAACATCATAAATAAACTCAATCCCTTAAATAAAATCTCAACTTCAAATATTTAGATAAAATAATATAGTTAAAAAGAGAAACTCTATTCAAAGAAAAATTATTAACTAAGAATCACCAAATATTCATGCATGATCCTAATGAATCTTTAAGTTTTTCAATCTACTACAAAAAATTAATAACACTATATTACATATATATCATATGAAGATTAATTATTAAGAATCATATAATTCAAGACTATGTAATATTCTTTTTTATTAGTAGTTAATTAAGTTTTTTGACAGACATTAATTATTGATAAAGTTAATGAATACTTTATAGTAATAACATAATTAATTGTGTGTTAAGTCATTTATATGTTTTGAAGTTTCCGCAAATATATATCCCTGTAGGTACCCCACTGGAAATTGAGTTTGCATGGAAGCCAGGGTGTGCTGAATCCTCGAAATGGGTGGTGTTTGTGGACAATGAAATTGAAAAGGCATGTGTGGGAATTGGTGGTCCTGAAGATCATCCAGGGCAACAAACCCGTAGTGGCACATTCCACATTGAGAAATACAATTTTGGATATAAGCTTGTGTTTTGTATCAATGGCTCTTCCGTTTGTTTGGATATTGGGAGGTTTGATGCTAACAATGGTGAGAGTGGAAGACGGTTGAATCTCACTGAGCATGAGGCCTTCGACCTTGTTTTCGTAGAGGCTTCTGACTATGAAGAAATAATTAAGTCTGTAGTTTGAATCAAATGTCTCAGCTAGATATATAGCATTGAGTGAATGTAATATCATACGTTGTTGTTGTGACATGCATTAACTCAATCTGCTCTTAGTTGCTAACAGCTAGCTAGAACCTTAGTATGCAGCCATTGAATAAGTGAAATAATATGGTTGTGATTTCTCACTTCAGTCTATGAGCTTACAAATACTCACTTTAGTACTTTAATCCTTGTGACAACAATTTTTTTTATGTTTTAGTTCCCATTAATATTTTTTTCTCTTTTTTTTTTCTTCAGATTTTGATTGTTTTAAATCCTCTTACATCAATTAATTCTCATTATTAAATTGGAAAGTCTAGAAGTTACAAAATTTAGATACATTTCCGAGTAGTTATTTGTGTTATTAATCATTACAATGACAAGAACTTCTACATTATTATTTTAATCTTATTTTATAAAACACTTTGATATATATAATGTATCAAATCAATCATTTTAATTGTGTTACATCAAATGCTGTAAGTATCATGTTAGTTTTATATGTACAAATTTTTATACTTTAAATTGTCTTCAGTTGTCATATCTCTATGTTCTTTAATGCTACTACAGAATTTAAAAATAAAAAAAATTGTTAAAACGTGAAAATTTTGAAAACAAAAATATTTTTCTCACGCATTACTACCTAATTGAGGTGGATTTTGGCACCAATATGACAAAATATTATGTGATATAGAAATCAAACAAATTGCAAACTTTCATGTTTCTAAGAGTTGTGTGGTGTAAAATTAAAATAATATACCAAATTCTCACTATTGAAGCGAGTATCCTAATGTAACAAGAGGAAATTAAAGGGGAGTTCATGAGAAAACAAAGGGTGGGAGCTAAGAAGATGAGGAGCAAGAAGAAAGGAGCTAGATAATGTCAAAGCGGACTAAATAATTAAAAAAACAATTCATATGGATGCGATAGAATAAAATACATATGTATAAAAGAAAACTCATAAAGGCTAAAATTGATAACTTTTTAAGTATAGAAATTAAAAGTTAAAAATTATACAAAGTATAGAACATAATATAAAATAGTACAAATATAGAGTAAAATTTAAAGTGCAATATATGTTAGTGATATGTCATCAATTCCATGTAATTCATTATTAATGGCATTAACTTTTTCTTTTTAATAATAAAAATAAAAAAGAAATTAAAAGTGTTTGTATATATAGAAAATAAAATGGATAGTTTTTAAGTTTAGAAATCAAGAGAAATAAGTGATATATTATTGATGTAAAATAATTTTCTCTCTCACTCAATTATAAATCACCATTAATTGTAAGTTGTTAATTTTTAAAATAAACAAATTAAAAATCATACCAACATTATATTCAATTGATTGACAATATAAAATAAATTTACATTGTTAGTGTATCACCATAAATTCATAAGCTAAATGGTAAAATTTGTAGCATTATAAGAATCAAATTAATTGTTTAATTTACGTATAACTAATTATACCAACAAAGTGTGACATAATTGCTAGAAATAACTTTGTCATTAAACAAATTATTTTGGAGAGCTCAACTCCTTTTATATATATATATATATATATATATGTAAAGAAAAGGAGAAGATCAAATGACATTAATATAACTTTTATGAATTATTGAACTGCTTAATAATTTTATATTAAATATAAATTTTATTAATTTAATTGTTGAATAATAATTTGTTATAATGTATGTTAATTTTGTTAAACTTTAACAATAATTTAAAGATAATCAAATTATTCATATTTTAATATATTTTAAAATTAATATATTATGTCAATTTTAATTTATATAAATAAAATATTAAATATTTTAAATTAATATAAAATCTTATATATATATATATATATATAATCTAAGAGTAAGATATTTTTAATCAAATAATAAATTTTGAAAAATTCACATTTAATATAAAATTATTAAATGATGTAATAATTAAAAAAAATTATATTAAAAAAAATATATATAAGGTAGGATTCGAATCTCTGACTCTACTTAACTATTAACTTCTATCACTAAATCACACGCTTGGATTACATTAGTTATTCACTTTAAAATATTGTGTGAACGGAAGTAAAAATATCAATCCATTAAACCCTATTCCGTGGACTAATCCCATCATAATTTGACGGTTCTCCCAAATAACAACAAAAGGTTGTGTTCCACGTGACAAATAAAATATTCCTCCCCGTGGAACACTCATCAGTAATTTAATATTAAATTTATTTATTAAGATCGTTGGAGCTCATCATGAATTTATTTTAACTCTTTATGCCTAGTCATTTTGTTAAAAGAAAAAAAAAACTTTATGTTTTATCTATATTAAATTAGTATTTTAATTTTTATAATATACAAATTAAATACTTATTATATATATATATAATATAAATTTAAAATAAATTATACATATAAATAAATATTATGTTAAAATATATACATTGTATTTAAAATTTGAATAAATAGATATTTTTAAGTATATAAATTATATTTTAGATTTATGATAAGTAATTTATATTAGAATTTAAAATTATTTTTATTTATAATAATTAAATTTAAAAATATTAAAAAATATTTTTATAAAGAATTATAATAAATAAAAATTAAATTAGATATTAAAATTAAAAAAAATTGGTAATTTTTTTTTAAAATCACTCTCATATAAGATAATCTTTTGTGTTTTATATCTAGACTATAGGTTAATAATTATTTTATTTCCAAATTCCTTTATTAATTTATAAATTGTCATTATATATTTTTTAAGTAAAAAAAAATTGCCCTCTCCTTTTGTACAGTAAGCATGGAAATACTACAGTGAAGCCTAGCTAATTAAATTGGTAGATTTAAAATGAAAATAGTAAATTAATTTCTATGTGTCATGTTATTGTACCAAAAAAAAAAACTATTAAATATATTTCTAAACTCAAAATTATAACGAGTCAGGTCATTTTTTATTACTAAAATGAAGACTATATAGGATAATAAAATTAAAAATATACACCCTTAATATAAAATTGTCTAAATCCATAGAATACCCTAATTTAAATTCTAATTTTTTAACACTTATTTTAACTTGGCAACTACTTCCGAACAAGAGTCCTAAATCCATCCTTATCCAATTGTTGTACATGGATGTGTATCTGATGTTAAACTACAATCCTATATATATTAGAAGCAATCATAATAAGTATACACATTAAATAAAATCATAATTTAATTTTTATTTAAATATAAAATTGTGATCGCATATATTACTATATTGTTAGACATAAAGTAACAAGTATTGTTTAATGATGGTTACTTTATTGTTATGCAATGAAGATCTTCATGTGTATCTTTCTTTTCTTTATATCTCTCAGCATCTTATATTTAAGAGTCGTTCAATTTGCTAAAAATAATTATGATACTGAGAAAAATAAATATAATTATTTTTTATTTAAATTACAAAAATATTATAAGACAAGACAAACAAGGTCAAAAAAAAATAAGACTAAAATTTTGTTTTTTATTATTCAATAAATTATGAAACAATTTTTTATTTCAAGTACTAAAACATTGATCATTATCATCGTTATTGTAATACTAACATCATTTTGACATCTATTATTGTCACCTAACATCATTGTTGACACTCACTACTACACTATCATAGTCGCTCATCATTATTGTAGTTGTCATAACAATAAAATTAGTCTTGAAATTTTATGTGTCTTAAACAAAATGATAAATTTAAATTTTTATATATTTTTTTGATAACTATACTGTATTGGTATAATATTTTTTGACTTTACTAAACTTGGTTGGTCATCCGATATCTTCCTTATTAAGGAGATTGAATTTAGTATCATTCAAATTACAACTTGTTGATTTGAACAGTTATATATAAAAATTTATAACATAAAAATAGATACATAATTTAATTAAAAATAATATATTTTATGATATTAAATATATAACACAATATTAACAAATATAAAAGAGATACTTTATATTTTTATTAATTTATTTTTATATTATCATTTATTATAAAACCTTATATAAATAAATTTGAGGATCTCCACATTAAAATGATTAAAAGAAGACAAATTTTGAAGGATTAAAATCAAACTTGAAAAATTATATAGTGACTAAAAATATTTTATTCTTTAATAAATATTATATACTAAGTAAATAAGAATTTAAAATTATATCACAAAATTATATATAAATACAATATATATATATAATATAATTTTATTTTTAAAAGTAATATACAATAATATAAAAAAAAGTTCTCAAAATTCTAATTTGTTTTAAAAAAAAATTGGGCCTCTTAGTGATAGACTTGAGACACCACACCTACAGACTACCTTCGGGACCAGTCCTACATAACAATTTATACCGTCATTATTTTTTATTAAAATATTAATAATGTATTATAATAACTGATATTAAAATAAATATGATTAAATTTAACATTATTTTATTTGTGATTATATTAAAAAAAAAAATTTTCCCGACAACTTAAATTTTTGTAATGTATTATTCTTCTTATATATAAACGGATACTTAAAATAAAAAATATAAATTATACTCATACATCAAATTTCTCGTTCATCTCATTTTTAATCTTATCCTTTACTCTGATCTCTCTGTCTCCCTTTCTTTATTATATCACATGTTCATCCTTTCTTGTTATGTGTATTTATTTATAACATCTCATACATTTAATTACCTTACAACACATACTTCACTTTGGATTCTTTCTGTGTTTTCTCTCTCTCTCTCTCTTGTACCATAATTGGACTGTATTTTATTATAATATATGTATCATTTTTCAATTTAAAACACGTGCCACTCACCGCATCTTTACTATGATCTATCTATATATAGTGGCAAAGGCAAATCCAGCGAAAGAAATCACACAAGTACAAGATCTCTAGCTATACATAGAGAGTAACTTAACTATGAAGGCTGTGCTACTACTAACCCTCTCCTTCCTCCCCCTCTTTGCTTTCTTCACCAACCTTCCATTAGTTTTGTCAGATGAAGTTGAACAAGTTGTGGATATAAATGCCAACCCTATTTTCCCTGGTAGCACATACTACATCATCCCAGCAATCCGTGGCCCACCTGGTGGTGGGGTCAAACTTGGCCTGACTTCAAACACAAACTGCCCAGTTACTGTTTTGCAAGACTTTTCAGAAGTGATTCGTGGTCTTCCAGTGAGATTTAAGATACCTGGAATAAGCCCTGGCATCATCTTTACAGGTACTCATCAATAATTTCATTTCATTAACTATGCATGATATATAAATGTCTTTTAACAACGCAATTGATTTTCTTAAGTAAAATTTCATGTTGGAGTTTGTGGATAGAAAAACATTATCAGAGAGATCCACTAATTGAAAAAATTAATCATTATCAAAGTGGATGAATATTATATCTTATAATAATAATATAACTAATATGGTTGTGTTAAGCACTTCATATGTTTTGATTCTGGAAATATCCTCCTGCAGGTACCCCACTGGAAATAGAGTTCGCAAGGAAGCCAGGGTGTACTGAATCCTCGAAATGGGTGGTGTTTGTGGACAACGAAATCCAGAAGGCATGTGTGGGAATTGGTGGTCCTAAAGATCATCCAGGCCAACAAACTATGAGTGGCACATTTCACATTCAGAAGTACAAATTTGGGTACAAGCTTGTGTTTTGTGTCAATGGCACTTCCACTTGTTTGGATATTGGGAGGTTTGATGCTAAAAATGGTGAGAGTGGAAGGCGTTTGAATCTCACCGAGCATGAGGCCTTCGACCTTGTTTTTGTAGAGGCTTCTGACTACGAAGCAATTATTAAGTCTGTGGTTTGAATCAAATATCTCGAGGCTAGATAGTAGTGTTGAGTTAATGTCATCATAGTTGTTGTTCTGGTTTCTGTTGCAAACAGCTAGAAGTGGAACCACAATATGCAAACGTTGAATAAGTGAAATAATATGGTCATGCTCTATTGTTTTCCTACTTTTGTCTCATGTCTCTCTAAATAGTAAAGATTACTACAATGATACCATTCTTTTAAACTTCGGACTTAAAATGAAAATCACTTCTCCCATTATTACTACCCTCTACCCTAAGTTTCGTTTCACATTTTAGTAATTTTGATTATTAATTTAATTATAATATTAATGTAGTATTAAATAGTTTTTCTATTATATTTTTAATTTTTTTATTAATATATTCTTTAAGTATTATTGAAAATTTAAAAAGTTTTTAAAGATTTATCATAGAAATTTATATGATTATTATTAATTGTATTTTTAAAATTTCATGCTAAAATTTCAATCTTCAAACAAAATAAAAAAGAAGGTATTAACTATCAGTAATAAAATAGTTTTTTAATTTCTTGTAACTAATTAGAAAAGTATTAGGATATCAAAGTTTGTTAGCATTATGTCTTTTTTAATTAAGACTCAATTTGATTTTCTGTTTAAACACATGGAGTAGTTTTAATTAATATTGGTTGTAAGATCAAGGCATTAAAAAAGTATTAGGGTATCAAAGCTTGTTAGCATCATGTCTTTTTTGATTAAGAACTGAATTTCATTTTCTATTTAATTATAGAGTCGCTTTCAATTTAAACATAGAATTGCGACAATTTAATAATGAGTAAGAGTTATGTTTCTTTATTAAACTAAAAATAATATTAAAATAAAGTTTATCTTCACATTAAATGTAAAATAAATTATATTAAAGACACTTTATTTTGTGTGTGCCTATAAACATAAATTACTTTTTTCGGCGATATATCATGGTTAAAAACAAAATATATTAGGTTCAGTTACAAGTTTTTAACTCTAAAAACTAAGTGAGAAAAATAATTATCTCTTAATATTCTAAAGATAACTTTTATTCAATCCGTACATGTGACTCTGACTCTTTGAGTGCTTCCACGTCCAACGATTTCATCTCTACAACAAAAAAGTATTATTATCAATAATTATTTAACAATAATAAATTAATTATTTTAATTTTATTATTTAATAAAAATATTAATAAATAATATATAATAGTTACTCAAGATGTATTTACATCACACAAAAATTTATTATTATTGATAATTATTTATTAAGAAAAATTTAAGTCTCATTTCGACTAAAGATATAAGATAATTAAAGAGTATATGAATAACAACTCTCATTTTATAAGTTTATTTTGTAGGATTGAATTAGACCTATAACTTATTATTCTATGTTGGTATTAAATTACTCATCATTACCAAACTCAATAGTGCTAAACTTAACGGATATATTAAACAAAATATAAATTTCACATTAGACAAAATAATTAATTAGGAGATAAGATAATTTAAAAAATGAAATTAAAAATATATAAATAAAGGACAACCCTCATCTTACAATAAAAAATGCCACAAAAACTTAAAGGTCTTTACCAATATGCAAAATAATTGTCTATAAATATTTTAACGATATTGCATATAATGACTAATGTGAAAGTACTAGTAAATAATTTTATAACAATTTTTATTTGTCACTAAAAGTCATATTAAATATTACTAAAAATTTATTTTGTTGTAGTAAAATTTTATTTTCTCTTTTAATTATTTTTAAAATATTAAAATTGTATAAGTAATTTTTAAGTGTTAAATATCTATTAATTAATTTCTTAAGCTGATATATTTTATTCATGTGAGATTAATTTGAATTTTCTAATATTTAGTATGATTAAATTATATATTTTTTAATTTAGAGCTATTTTGAGACAATAATATTGTAAAAATAAAATAGATAATCTATCCAAATATCGAAAATAAACTGGACATTTATAGTATTAATTATCATAAAAGTACTGAGACACCCACGTGGTTCAGTAAGCCACTTGCAAAACTATATACAAAAGAAGATTATGGTCCTCGTGGCCCTCGAGGAACTCATGAAAATATTTTTTTATATGTACCTTTACTACTTTGTTTGTTTAATATTGAAAGTGATATATATGCTAGTGGATTCCAATTACATGCATTTTTATTTTTTTTGTTTTTAATTATGCTCTTTGTTTCAAGGATTTTGTTGAGTTATATATTGTTTAGAGATATTGTATTTATTCAATAAAAGTATATAATAATCAATTTTTCATTAAATCAATTATTTTATTTTATATATTTTTTATTTGTAAAAGAGTTATATAGTTTTGTTGTATAAATAGAATTTTCTATTATTTATACTTATTTCTATAATAATTTCTTGCAATTCAATTTATTACTCATTTTATCTTAAACTTATTTTCTTCTTTTTCCTCTAACATCTGCAAATGTTAGTAAATTTGAAGAGGCGAAATTTCTTTTAATAATAGCTAGCTTATAAATAATAATATATATATAAAATGTGTATATGTTCACGACATCATTTATAATTCTTTGGTTAAAAACCTTTTTTTGATTCTTGATAATATTTTTTTGTTTCAATTTAGTTTCACTTTAATTTTAGGTTTCAATTTGGTCCCCAATAATTTAAATCATTGCAATTTGGGATTTCCGTCCAAATGATTTAAACGGGGTTAACTCTCGCTGACGTGGATGCTAGGTGAATGTCACGTAGATGCACAGGTGGATGCCAAATGTCATGAATACACCTGGAACTAGAACGACCCGTTCTAAAACCAGAACGACCCGTTCTGCATGCACATGTTATGTGTTAAGTTTGCAACTAGAACGGGCCGTTCCAAATACAAATTTAAGACAACATGAGTGCAGCAGAACGGGCCGTTCTAAAACCAGAACAGCCCGTTCTGAAACCAGAACGGGCCGTTCTGTTGTTAGAACAGGCCGTTCTGAATTCAGAACGGCCCGTTCCAGAACGCCAACTCATGCTTTTTATTGTATTTTTTTTTATATCTATATTAATAAAAATATAATAAATAAAAAATATAATAAATTAATATTCATTTATGAATAAAACTAAAAAAAAAAAAGAATCAAATAAGATAAGACATTCCAAAATCCTTCTTTGATTTGAACTTATCCAGTTCAAAATCTTGACTAAAATGTCGCAATGTGATTCAAAAATTGAAAATAAAAATTTATAATATATTATAAATTCAAAGACAGAAATATGGTTCAGAAATTGAAAACAAAAATTCAGAACATAACATATACTAAAAAAGTTCAAAGAAATTATTAAGAAAGGAAATCATCTGGATAACGCTGAAGGGAAACCCTAAATCACAAAAATTCAGGTTGTACCTCCTCAAGAACAGGTTTTTATTGTTGGGGTACATCGTCAATGACTTCAAGGGGAAACACCGTTTCGTTTCATCCTTGACTGTATAGTGTCAATTTGGTAGTAAGTGGTTCACTCTAGTTTGACTAACAATGAAATAAAACTTGTTACCATTGTCCTTAATGATACACTGCATCGTCCTTAATGATACACTGTATAGCCTAAATATATAGCAATTGAAGTTATCAATCCACATTAACAATATTACCAAATCTAGTGTATGAAATGCTTTGTACTTTGGTTTTTTCTGCACGAAATTTTGGAACCAGAACGGCCCATTCTGAAACCAGAATAGCCCGTTCTAGTTACACTATTGGTATGTTAATTTTGCATCTGGAACGGCCCGTTCCAGGTACAAAATTTACACACCAATAGTGCAACCAGAACGGGCCGTTCTGGTTTTAGAACGGGTCATTCTGGTTCCAGGTGTATTCAAGTATTTTGGGATCCACATACGTGGCATCTACGTGGCATCCACCTGACATCCACGTGGCCACCAGTTAACTCCGTTTAAATCATTTAGACGGAAGTCCTAAATTGCAATGATTTAAATTATTGGGGACCAAATTGAGACCTAAAATTAAAGTGAGACTAAATTGAAACAAAAAAATATTATAAGAGACTAAAAAAGGTTTTTAACCTAATTCTTTCTACTTAATTATATATTAAATTATATTGTCTTTAACTTAATTTGACCAGCGGGCACATAAATTAATTAATATAGTATTGTTAAACTTAACTAATGAACTTGAATTCAAATTCAAAATATACATATGCATTAAATATTAGAGAGAATTTTGTTATTTATAACTATCCTATTCAATTATCTTATATTTCTAACACTCTTGTTATAAATAAGGATCACGATGTTATTTTATCTTCTATACAAGAATTAAAAAAAAATACAACTATAGTAAATACGGTAAATATTAATTTTATGGAAATGATGGGTTGTGTTACGTAAGAATCAGAAACGAAAGAAGAAAAACTGTTATATGAATTTTATTGTATGTATTATTATGCAAAATTAGTTACAGAGCTGAATATATATAAGACCAGTTACAACAATCTCTACCTTGGTCTTATATTCAGTAACATTATAGTTTTAACCAGTATCTGTAACATTCAGTAGCTTCAAACAAAACTCAAATTTATTTGAAGGTAATGCTTTTGTAAGCATGTCTGCAATTTTGTTTATATCCAATCAATAATTTCCATCATCAAATCTCAAACCATATATGTACACACATCATCCATATCCACCATATCACACAACCAGCACCATGTCAAGCTCACCTAACTGATAAGAGAAGATTTTCAAGATATATATGTAATATATTTTGACATATATAATAAATATTCTTGTAGACATAGATATATTTTCACCCACGTTAAATATATTTTGTGTGATATTTTTCTATTTCTTTATGATGTTGACTTATTTGTATTTTCTCATCCTCATGCTTAAAAGAATTTTTTTTGTTCTCAACATGTTCTTCCATTCTTTATCTTTATTGTGCTCTTCAAACAATTTTTTATTTTTTCTATTTAAAATTAAGTTAGATTAATTAATCATAGCACAAATCCATGTGAATTCGATACTTGTACTACTAAAGACATTGGTTAACATTTCTCAAGAAATAATTCTTATTGACTAAAAAAGTGAATTAATATCATTTGATTCTGAGTTTTAAAAACTAGCTCAGACGACCGATAAATTCAAAG